TGTGTGTGTGTGTGTGTGTGTGTGTGTGTGTGTGTGTGTGTGTGTGCATATATGTATACGCCCATTTCAACCAGCTCTCTAACCAGAGTTCTAAATTCGCTTTTCATGGATTTAGACACAGAGATTTCAAAATGTGACGCAACTGCACATAAATCATATTTCCTTCGTACATCAAGCTGTTATAAAGTAGGATTAGCTATAAAATCTACCAGACTAAACTGTGCCATATTCAAAATGAATCCCGAATGAGCCCCCAATATATATGTAGGTGAAATTTATTGGATTTGACAGAATTTATTGTTTCCCTGTATTTCAATTCCTCCTGATATGATGAGCACCTAGTAATATAAAAGAAATGCAAATTTTACATACATACACACATAAACACAAACATTGGAATTGTGACGTGATGTTGGTCACTGGATGTCAGCAGCCATGCCAAGATCAGCCTCATCCTCAAAGTGGACCTTGAAGTCTCCCTCTTGTTCCTCAAACACAATGACCTGATTTATTTGAGTGTGAAAAAAAACACAGACAAGTGTTAGAGATTTGTTTGGTTTTTGCAATTATAGTACAAAAATACATTAAGAGTACAGCAGTTTACAAAGCTAGAGCCAGCAGATATTTAGTATAAAGAGTGTGAAGAGGAGGAAACGGCTAACCTGAGTCGCCCAGAAGGTAACAAAATCATCTTACAAGCAAATATGAATGAAACATGCAACAAACAACATGTAAATTAGCTATGGTGATCCTAGGCTGGGCTAAGCTATTGGAAGCCTTGGAAAACCTAAACACGTTAATATCGTCAGTCTTCTCGTCTAACACTAGATAAGAGAGAGCAAGTAAGCAGTGTTAATTTTGTAGACCAATAATTTTCATCATATTTTTAGTCAACAACCTTTTTTCTGACAAAAACAAGACAATAACTACATAAAAGCTAAAGTCACAGGGACAAAACCTATGATGATGTCTATTGACTCTTTCATCAATGATTAAAACGGGATGAAGATATTATAGAGAGAGAGAGAAATCCAATCAGAACTAATTTAGTTGTGTAGAAAGATGGGACGAGTGGGAGTGATCCAATCAGAAGTATGTCCTTGTGCCATCACTTTAGATGCAAACATATGGAAACGGAGAAAATAAGACACATTGTAACCTGTGTGGCACAACTTTCACTATTACAACACTTTAACAACTATTACACTTCATGTTTTAGTCAAACTACAACTTTTACTCTGAGTATTGCTATCAGTCTCAAGTAGTTATGACCAGATGGCTACACAGCCAGATCCATCCCTGGGTGACATCATGGTGGCTGCAACCATCTTTTACATAAGTCTATATTCTGTCTTATACTTTTTTAAGAAATTCTTTGTCATCTATTTCCTATTCTAGCAAACCTTTAAACCAATCATCTTTCTGCCTCCACATAGCATCATCGCCAATGATCGATGAAGCTATGTGGAGGTTTTTTGGAGGACTGCACGCAAGCACGTCTGCTTTGGCTGTGTAGTTAAAGACCTACAAGAAAGGACACAAGCGCTGTACCATTTTGTATTTATGAGAATAAAAAATATTCTAGAACAGAATATTAGCCTAAAAAATTGTGTTGCTCTACTTTTTTTTAAATTACTTTCAGTTCTTCTGCTGTAATTCTTATATGAAATGATAATCGCTTGCATCCAGGGAAGCAATCATACAAAGCCACTATTGCAAAAGCTAACTTTGTATATAAGCAAAAAAAAGAACAGAAATGAAGCAAAACAAAACACAAAGGCTGAAACAGTTTAACAGTAAATCAGGTCACGGTTGTCAGATACAGAAACAAAAACAATAATTAAAATTCTTAATTAAACTAAGGAGAAAAAAATGTGAAAGACATTTACATATTTGAACTTTTGGATCAACAACTCATTAGAACCAACATTACAAACGCCAACAACAGCTGTTTACAATCATACTGTGACAGCAGATATCAAACTACAAGCTCGTTTTATTAAAATTAGCTGTTCTCCGACCTGAAGGATGCATCCACGGACTCTGGATGTAGCTGTAAGCGGCGCTCACACAGACTAACAAAGTGCTACAATCATCATAATTCATCATTTGTTTCCGAACAGTTATACCTGATTGATTCCACTATTGAGAAAAGGACCTGGGAGGTAGAGAGTCTGCTGGGGGCCAATGGACCAGTAGCGCCCAAGGTTCAACCCATTGATAAACACAACACCTTTCTCCCAGCCCTGCGGATCCCAGACACATACATTTATTAAAACAAATTAAAAAAATAAGTATAAACACACCTGGCTTCTTTATGTATGTTTTTAACATATTTAGACGAGGAAACATTTGACTATTTTAAAAATGCCACAGACAAAAGATGTTTTATAGTACTTGAAGGACAGCACAAATGGTAATTCTTCAGTGGTTCATTGAATAAGATTACCAACAGATCTCATATACTTCTGTTTAAAATAAAATAAATTACACCCACAGTATCAGAAGCTCATTTTGCCCCCATTGGCACTCCTTGTAGGAGTTTTGTGTATGTCCACCAGTACCTGCTTTCTAAACTCTCTTCCCTGTAAAATTATTCTCCTTGGTTTAAATGCCCATTCAACATTTCAGTGACACTGAAGGTTTTATTATTTTCAACCAAGTCATTGCATGACCTTCCATTTCTTCTTTCTGAGCCATTCTTTCACGAATGTGCTTCAGATCATTATCCTTTCAAAAAGGTCCACTTTCAGCTCACTTTTCAGATAAACGGATTCACATTACTGTATATTCAAGCGATGCTGAAGAATGCAAAGCTGAATCAATGCCTGCAAGCTACCCAGCGGTGAACTGGCAGTAATTTGATTTTCTTTACAGTTAATTTTGTTATTTCAAATAATTTGAAGAGCTTTTTATACCCTCTTCCAGATTGAAGACTCACAGGCAGACACTTCAATAGGATAGAGCACAAAAGATACTAATGACAGACATTTAAAAGTCAGTTTCCACCTGCTACTCCACAAGGAGGTTTCAGTCATCGGAATTCCTTCTTCTAATTTATTGGATTTCAAGGTGTAACAATGTGATTAGTCTTTTCCGTTCATTTAAATGTCATTTACTTATTTTTTAACATAGCTGTTTATGTTTATGTTCACTTACTGGCAGCTTCACAAACGTGTCACTTGGATACCCATATGCAAACAGTCTGCCCATGAAAAATCCAGGGAAGCTGGGTGTTTCAGAAAGACTTTTCCAGGGTGCTTGATAAAGACTGAAATAAGGCCACATCAAACACACTATTACAGACAAAAGCAAGTAATATGCAGCGTATTAGATTTAATAAAGTCTACAAACCTATCAAGGAAGCTGGGTTTCATATCCAGGCTGTATATTGTAAAATCTCTCAAGGGGATATTGTTTAATAAAATGTCTCCCACTAGTCCTGCAAAAACACAAATTGAAATTGGCTTGCCCTCTACAAACTGATCGCTCCAGTGATTTAAAAGCAGGCAGAGCGATGAACAGCAAAAATTTCAGTCAGTCACCTTTACGTTGCTTGTCAAGCTCCCTTCCCTGGTGAACTCGTCCACAGTTCTCCACCAATAAACTCAAGGTACGATGTCCCTGTAGGGATCAATCACATTTATGTTTTTTGATCGTTTTAACAGCCAGACAGCTGCGTCTCCAGCATCCATCACACTGAATGAAGCCTTTCTCTTCACTGTTCAACTTGATGTCATACCTTACCATCAGGAACCGCCAGCTCCAGACTCTGGCGCTTGAAAAGGCCAATGTAGCTTCTGTCTACAAACACCTGGAGTAAAAAACATTAGTGTCAAATAACTGTAGTAATTTAATTTAAACTGTGTCTTGCTGGAAGGCACCAGAGCAACGCTCTACCCCTTTTTCTTTGAAGAATGAAATATCCACTTAAGCCGAAGTTTAATTGGTTGGTCCTCACTTTAAGAGCATTTCATGCAATAAAACTGGTAAAGACAGCATGATTGGTCAAACCTGTCAGTTTAATATCTCAAACCAGATCTACTAATATCTGGGCCAGTGCTAAACCCTCTTTTAGGGCTTACCAAAAAGGCCGAGTGTCAGTGCTGTAGGGCAAATTAGCATGATGATGCATTTACAAAAGTGTGTCCATGGAAGTAGAAAGATCATATGGTGATGCAAACAGTGAGCTATCTTTATATCCAAAGATGCAGTCAGCTCATTTTAGTAATTACCTGACAAGAGGTGTACAAATTAATGTCTAAAAATAAAGGCCTTTGATGAGGGTGCAAAAGAAGCGAGTGAGGGTCTGACAAAAATAATACAATTTAAGCTAATGCTGTACACATGGTTCTTTATGAAAACAGTGTGACTATGTAGAGAAATGAAAAGAAGAGGAAGAAGAATCAGGATGATTTTCTTTGGGGGGAACTCATCTGTGAAAGTGCTAAAACTGTGTGAGTTTGAGGACTAAGCCTCAGGTGGACCTCAGGATTTATCCAGAGGAGAGCGGCGTTATGATAAACCATAACCCTGAATAAACCTGAAATGGGACCTGCATGATGTGCAGAAGAACACTAAACATTATTTACCAGAGAGATGTTTAGATCTCTATGTATGTGACTAAAAACACTGTTCAGTTCACTTCTGTTTGGTTTCAATTAAATAATAGACTGAAAGGGAGTCTGTAAGCATGCAGGTCGAGGACAGGGCCAAGGTTTTAGCAGTGTGCTCAGCTTTGACTGATCCAATTAATGCTTACTTTAATAAATATCTAGCATTATATGTTATATATATATAAACAATGGTAATTTGCACAACTGCAATATCCAGACAGTAGGGGTGCAACGATACTCGTATCGATATTGAACCGTTCGATACAGTGCTTTTCTTACAAGTTCATAGAAATT